GATGCAACTACTTACCGGATAAAACTAATAAAATAAAATATCAAAATAAAATAAAATAATAATAAATTCCACATTTTATGTGAGAAATGAATGAGGCAATGTTTTCTTTCATAAAAGGTGGTAAAAGCATTAAGAATGGGAAAAAAATGTATCAATGAAAGCAGAAAAGCTCCAGAGGAGTTTTCTTGATCTTTTTCTGGCCCAAAAGGGATTGAGTTTAATTGTATTATGACAAGAAAATACAATTAAACTCAAATTAGTTTCTTAAAAAGGAAAAAAAACAAAAATAATTTTTTATTAGAACTATTATCTCAATTACACCGATCTTTCTCTCTCTCTCTCTTTTTTGTTTTAAGTCAAATAAAAAAAATGTTTATTATTGGGTTACAAAAAGAAAATGTGAATAAAAATTTGACTTTGAATTTTGAGAGATAGAATTGATGGAAGAAATATGCAGCCAAACAAGGTATTGCATAATGTATTGTATTTTTATAATTAAGTGTGTAAGTTTAAATGTTAATGTTCATTGAGAATAATTAATGTGATTGTACTTTTTAGGGGAGGAGTGTTGGAAAATTTTGATGTCTTTGTTTAGGATCTATGAATACAGACGTCGGCAATACATTAATAATAATAATAATAATAATAATAATAATAATAATAATAATAATAAAGAAAGAGCATTAATTAACTTATGTGACTTGATCTCGACGTGTCAATGGTAAAGAAAAATTGAAAATAACTTGTTGACTTCTCAGATTTGTTAGACGAATTAATTTGCATGTCGATGAATGCTTAAACTTACACATTTTGTCATTAAAATACAATACAGTTGTAATAGATTATTGAGCTCGACGAGTAATAGGACCACATGTATATTTTCTTCTTCCTCCTCACTTGTTGATTTCTCTGCAACTAGATTAGTCCAAAATGGTTTAAAAGGACGAAAAAAGAGGGGTTTTTTTAAATGAAAACAACTGAGCTGGAGAGAAAGAAAAAAAAGTCCCTTTCTCTTTTTTTTTTGGATATTGTCCCTTTTCATCTCTCTTCTCTCAAGGCAACGCACTCTCTTCTCCATCTCTTACAATGGCGTTTTTCGTTATATAGAGTCTTCATTTTCGTGAGCTTAAAAATAGAAAGGTTACGATTTAACATTCAAGTCTTGTTTCTGCATAGAATAATAGCAATGGTTGATTGACGTTGATTTGTACCGTGAGCTCTATTTATAGAGCCACGGTTCATAATGGTTTTTACACTAGAGCAAGTAACCAAAAAAAAAAAATGGCCGATAAGAAGAAGATTATTGAAATTTCTCAAAAAATGGTTTCTCTCTATCTAATTAAGAGTTTTTTTAGATGTTGGCTCAATAATTTTTTTATTTTTTTATTTTTTTATTTTTCTATTTTTTTCTTAGTTCCATGCATGAATCATCCTGTGTAGAGACAAAGGCGGGGAGGGATCGGTCAAGAGTGCACGTCCGAGAGATAGTAAGACTAAACCCGAAAAATCAAAGGCCAAGAAAAGGTGGGAAGAAGAAGTGAGAATCGAGGCAAAAAAGAAAAAAGAACTCGAAGAGTCAAAACTCAAGGAGGCAGCGAAGGTTGAAGAAGAGGACAATAAGTAAGGGATTGTGCCACTACTAATCCTACGCCCATAAGAATAATTATATCGTTTCTCTTTTGAGTTTTGACTCTTCGAGTTTCTTTTTCTTTTCTGCATCAATTCTCGCTTATTCTTCCTACCTTTTCTCGGCCTTTGATTTTTCGGGTTTAGTCTTACTATCTCTCGGACATGCATTATTGACCAATCATTCCCTGCCTTTGTCTCTACACATGATGGTTCCTGCATAAAACTACGAAAAAATAGAAAAATAAGAAAATAAAAAATTATCGAGTTAACATTTAAAAAAACACTCTTAGATCAGATAGAGAGAAACCATTTTTTGAGAAACTCCGATAATCTTCTTCTTGTCGGCCATTTTTTTTTCTTTTTGTTACTTGCTCGAGTGTAAAAACCATTATGAACCGTGGCTTTATAAATAGAGCTCACGGTACGAATCAACGTCAATCCACCATTGCTATTCTTTTATGCAGAAACAAGACTTGAATGTTAAATCGTAGCCTTTCTATTTTTAAGCTCACGAAAATGATAGCTCTGCATAACGAAAAACGCCATTGCAAGAGATGGAGAAAAAAATGTGTTGCCTTGAGAGAAGAGAGATGGAAAGGACCAGTATCCAATAAAAAAAGAGAATGAGACTTTTTCTTTTCTTTCCCTCCGGCTCAATTGTTTTCTTTTAGAAAACATCACTCTTTTTTTCATCATTTTTGACCATTTTGGGCTAATATAGTTGCAGAGAAATCAACAAATATGGAAGAAAAAAATATACATGTGGTCCTATTACTCGTCCAGCCTAATAATTTATTACAGTTGTATTGTATTTTCATTACAAAATGTGTAAGTTTAAGCATTCATCGACATGCAAATTAATTTGTCTGACAAATCTGAGAAGTCAACAAGTTATTTCCAATTTTTTTTCACCATTGACACGTCGAGATCAAGTTACATAGGTTAATTAATGCTTTAAATTTATTATTATTATAATTATTTTATTAATGTATTGCCGACGTTTCTATTCATGGATCCTAGATGAAGACATCAGAATTTTTCAACACCCATCCTCTAAAAAGTATAATTATATTAATTATTCTCGATGAACGTTAACATTTAAACTTATACACTTTACCATGAAAATACAATACATTATACAATATCCTATTTAGCTGCATATTTTCCTTATCAATTCTATCTCCTAAAATCTAAGGTTGAATTAAATTCATTCACACACTTTTTCTTTTTGTAACCCAGTAGTAGACTTTTTTTATTTTTATTTGACTCAAAACATCAAAAAAGGGACAAAGTCCATCGTCCCCGGCGTGGGTGGTTCGCATGTATGTATGGTGGCCGGCGGCTATAGAAGTTTCTCAGGTTTATTTATGGTTTTGGTCTGGACATGCTTTTAAATCAAAGGCTAAGATCAAAAGTTTAATAGATTAATGGTTGAGATTTATTTTGAGTAAAATTTGTTTTTTGTTTTTTTTTTTTGAAAAGAAAGATGTGTTCAGATGCTATTATAGTATGGGGAAAAGTACGCCCCCTATCATAGACTTTCCTATAAATATATATGTTTACTCCAACCCTCTACTATTTTGGTTTTGAGCAAAGTTTTAAGAGCGTTTTATCGAACAAAGAGACAAACATGCTTCTTATTGCATTTATAATTGTCGTTTTGTTGAATGAATATCATATATTCGAACAACAGAAGTCCCAGCGAAAACAAAAATCCGCGTTCATTTGCAGGACCCAGGCAGGAGTACCAGGTATTAGCCTAATGGTCTCAAACTCTCTAACATGACGATTAACTTAACAATCTTCAGGTTGATTTGGAAATTTAAGAAGTCAAAATCAGGTGTTAACAAATAAGTGAATGGCATGATGTAAAGATCTAGAGAAAAGGCGGTTTTTCATTTTCAGTTTTTTACCGTTTATAATTGGCAATAAAAACAAAAAACAAAAAAAAAAAATTTGTAGTAAATATCTACCATCTGTATAAGGTCTGAAAAAATTCTGGGTCATTAGGCCCCGTTTATTTTGCCGATTTGAGTTTAGAATTCGAGTTTTGTTACAGTAAAAAGCTCTGAGAAAAAGTCACATCTAACTTTTTTGCTACAGTAAAAAGCTCTCACACAAAATCACATCTCAACTCAAATTACAAACTCGAATCAGCGAAGTGAACGGGTCAACTGTCTCTCTTTAAATTTCTAACCGTATAAGGGTCTAAAACCGTTGTGCCTAATTAATGCCTCAATGTCTTAAATTTTACCTATAAATATTAAAATTCATATTATTTGTATTTAATATGTCATATAAATTTTCATGTTATATATATCACATATCATTATATTGTAGATTACACATATAGTTAATCATGTCAATTCGTGTCACTTCGTATTAAGAGGTTAACCCTAACCCAACCAATTTATTAATCGTGTTAATCATGTCAACCCGATCATGACCTAAACTCATTTATAGTAAATCTAAACCCGTTAATTTCGTGCGAATTTTGAGTTATGTCGTCGTGTCACTATCCGAATTACCAGTCTTAATATGTATGTTTGAGTACGTATTAACCAATATTGTACAAAAAAATAAAAATAAAATAAAATGCGTTAGAGATTTAAATAAAATGCCTTCTTGGGCCTTCGCTTGTTGTTTTTCTTCTGGAAATAATAGAAAATATGTCAATATGAAAAGCTTAAGGAAGTATATAGGCCAACTTTTAGTTATAGAAATTAATAGGCCATAACTTGTCAAGTTATGATTCATAACCAGATAAGTTATGGACAAATTTGTCAAGTTATAGTTCATAGCCAGACAAGTTATTGACAAAAATCGTGAATTATAGACAATAACTTGTCAAGTTATGGTTCATAACCAGACAAGTTATGAACGTAAACAGTAATTTGACCTATTTATTAATTTATATAAACTATTGATCTATTAATTTTAATTCATCTTTAAATCTTAACCTATTTTCTCCTTTTTTCCTTTTTCTTCCTCTATATTCCTGCT